GACCTGAAATCCAAATATACTTTGAAAATCCACTGTAAACCCTAAATAGTATTTTACTCGTGCCAGGCCTAATCTTTTGCCGAACAAAGAAATAAAAGAGGAGAGGTGTATATGTTTGCTTTAACTCAAGGGTAATCAGAGGAATAATGCAATAATTTTTCTAACTATGATTTTCTCCACAAGTAGATATGCATAAAGACACATGTAAGTTATGTATATAAATATGTAAACATAGAAGTGTAAAATGTTTGTCTACACGAGGCTGCACTTGCCCTCCGTCTCCTTGGATTTGGAGAAGAGGTGTTGCGAGAGGCCTGTGGAAATGATTTCTCCACAGGTGAGAGAGGCAAAGCTCCCCAAACGTCTACACACTTCCTTTCCCTAGTCTGCTAGCCATGACTTTCTTTATTATTTTTCTCTGTTAAAAGCAAGGATCAGAAAAAAGACAGGCTCGGGTTACATGAGACTGTGAGAGTTCTTTTGGGGTAGGTGGTCTGAGACTAAGTTCTGAAGTCACGGGGCCATTGCTCACAGAAATCCAGAATGGAGCCCAGAGCCACCCTCCCTGGGACGGCTAGACACAGTCCTGACTCTAAGCCAGTTCACTAAGGTTAATATTAAGGTTGCTTTGTAGTCCCTGGCTAATGTTTATGCAAAGTGCTTGCATCTGAGAAAAATGTCCATCTCTCATTTGTTGGGAAATGGTCCCCTGGTTCAGGGGTGGACATCCACGTGGTTCATAGCAACAGCTAGTGTGTATGAATGTCCCCACTGAGCCTGGACACTCTCAATTTATCTCAGAGCCGCCATGAAGGTGGGCACGGGGAACCCAAACACGGGAGTACTTACTCATGTGGCGGGCTAGGATAGGACATGGGTGTGTTAAGTGCTCTGCTCTGTGTCTTTTTCTCATTTTTTCCCTCAACATCAACCTTTTAAGATCCTTTCTATTGTTATTTTGGAATTTTACAGATAAGAAAATGGAGCCTAAGAGAAAGACCGTGACTTTCTCTGAGTGACACTGCTAAGAAGAAGCAGAGATCCTGGACCATTTGTCCTCACAGGACAGGTAAGAATTTCCCAGCAAATGCACCTCTACAGGGGCACAGTGATTCCAGATTCAGGGAGTGGGACATTCTTCAGGCCACTCCAGGGCTGTTCAGTAACAGGAGCTCTGCCTTTTGCTGGAAGAGAGAGGTTCTCGCCTTTCTAGTAATAGAAAACAAAGCCTGTGAATTACTCTCATTTCCTATAATGACACAAGACTTAAAGATTTGCTCTTAATTCTCAGAGCTTCGGTTAGTTTTCAGTATTACAATCATGCCACATTTATTTGGATAGCATAATTTTCATTTTAAAGAATATATTTGCTTCACTTTCCTTAAATGATTTTTTTTTCTTTTTTGGGATAGGCAGGGAGGTGGGCAGGAAGCTGGGCAGGGAGGAAGTGTTCCGATCTCTTCAGTATGAATCCCATTAATGAAAAACAACCTGTGCAGCAACAGGCTTGCTTCTGCTCTGGGGAGACCCAAGCGCCACCAACAAAGGGTTTTCAGGCCCTGACTGCTATTGCGAGGTCCTCACCTTGGGCTGGGGTCAGGAGGTTTTCAAGGCTCCTCCAGGCTTCCCAATTGCAAGAACAAAAGCAGGAAGGTCCAGGATGGACAGCAATGGCTCACTGCTTCCTTGCTGCTCACTTTGCCCTACCATCTTCTCTTTCCAGTTTCTCCCCCGGGTGCTTTCCTTCTTACTCCCCGCTAATGGCAAGAAGATTGGAAACTGCACCATCACACCCGCTAGGCTTCTGCCACCACCAGAACCCTCCTAAGAATTCCTGGGGAGGCCACTGACCTGCAGCCGTGCTGGCTTTGCAAAGAGGCACGGAGAGGTCCGGGTGTCAGAAGGTGATCAGCAGCTTCATGATCCCTGGAGCAATATCAGCTCAGTAGTTGAGCCTGACTTACATGAAGTTTATTTATATTTTGTTTAAAAGTTAATATTTAGTACTTTACAATGTGAGAGTAGTTTGCATGAATTAGTCCAATTAATTCTCCAAAAAGGGTAAATACTTTAAATACCTCCATTTTACAGATGTGCAAATAGAGGCACAAAGAGAAAGTGTTCGCTCTCAGGCAGCCTCAATCTGGACACTGAATTCTTAACTATTAATATATATTAAGTTGGATGCCTGGTACTACATTAAGCACAAGCTACCTGAGAAAAATTATCCTTTAAGAAAACAACATATTTATATCATGATACAAGTGTCAAGTTAAGCCAGGCATGGTGGTGCATGCTTGTAATCCCAGCATTCGGGAGGCTGAGGCAGGAGGATCACTGAGTTTGAGGCCAGCCTGGGCTATATAGTGAGCTCAAGGCCAGTATGCACTACATAACTAGACCCTATCTCAAAAACCAAAACCAAACAAACAAATGTCAAGTTAAACAAAAGATAAGAAATATTCTTTACAGAACTTCACAAAACCATCGTGAGAACCACTAAACTATTCTGTAAGAATGAAGAAAGAGAGCCTCCTTCCAATCAAAGCCCCTGTGCAGGTCCTGCATGCTTTATAACAACAGGGGGTGAATTGTAGCGGGCCTGGCCACACCACTGAACGGTATGGGCTGGGCAGACAGAGGCACCTGGAAAGGAGGGCAGTGTCAATGGCATACTTGTACAAGAGCATGCTAAGGCCCCCAAATCTAGTAAGTCTGTAAATATACAGATTATCAAGCCTCTTTATCTGGAAATTTCAATATTGTCAATCTGGGTTGATGCTCAGGAATGTGTCTTACAAAAAGCGGTCAAGATCATTCTTGTTTGTGGACAAGTTGGGAACGGCTTAGCAATTACCTGAACTTTGGTACTACTGCCACTATGCCTGGCACCTTCCAAAAAAACACCTAGGGAAGTGATGGCAAGCCTTTCAGAGACTGAGTACCCAGACTATAACCCAACACCCACTTATTTATCACAAAGCGCCAATGCTGCAATTAAACCTGAATACTGAGGTTTTAGTTTAGAGAAAAAAACTGTTACCCAGTGCTTGGCTATTGGGGCAACTTGGCTCATGTGGCGACAGAGAAGATTTGTGTGCTCGTTGCTGCACACATGCCATAGGTTCGCCAGCTAGGGGGCATGTGCTACCCACTGCCAGTGTTCTGGAGGGGGAGTGCCGCTAGGGAAACTATGGAGTCTCCAGGGCAGCAGGGAATCCTCAAGAGTATTGGCAACACATAAAACCAGCCTTGTTCTTAGGAGTTACTTATCCTTGAGACACACAAGGCCAGGATAGGAGGCTTAGGTCCTGAGGTCTTTAGCCTACTTCCCTCCCCTATTTCTCAGGGCATCCTCTATCTTCTAGTGGTTTTAGATGATCCAAGGCCCAGGCTCCACCCACCGGTGGGTGTGTTCAGCTCTTAGACCTACATATTCCCTGCATTGTGCGGCCTAGAACTTGAAAATCACTAAGGCATGCTCCCTGATGCTGAAGAACTCTGTTCTCGCCACTCAGCAAGAGATGGACAAACTGACAGCTCACAAGGGTAAAGCTTAGACAGGGGTCTAAGAGATGTGAAGAGAGAGCCAGGGAGCATAGAGGAGTAAATGACCAAGCTTATGTCAAAACGGAAGGCACAGCTGAGGGCTGAGTCACAAAGAATGAATGCGTAGAGGGAGAAAGGGAAAGTCACTCCAGGCTTTAGCAGACATATGTTTTTCTCCCTTGGGTTTCTTCTTTTTTGGAAACATTCTCTCCTACTTCATAGTTATCCTGCTCATAGTAATGTCCCCCAGGAGGACCCAGGCCTCCCAGTCAGAGTGGCCCACTTCCAGAGATGCAGGGACAGGTACAGGAATTGGCAAATAGGGGAACTCGGGGCGAATTATTTAGGCTGTGGGAATGCCATCCCTTCCTTTGGTGGAAATTTTGGTATAAGGATGACCACTGAGAGCTGTCAGCAGCTGAACCGCCATCAGTTGAGAGGGACTGGGCAAATGCTTTGGGGATGGAGTCATCAAGATTTTAAATATGGGAGTGATGTGAGCAGATGTGCGATTGCAATGTAACTCTGGTATTAGTGTGAACAAGTGCTGGGTCTGGCAGAGCCTGGACCCTGGGGTGCAGGGGAGAAGGTGCTGGAACAGGTTAGTGCAGAGACCACAAGCCCTCTGGTCCCCAGACAGCCCAGAAAGCACGGAACAGAGCCGAGAGATATTTAGGAGGCAGAGGAGACAAAGCTTGGTGATAGGATGTGATAGGGAGCAGAGCGGTCAGCAGGGCCAGCTCTGAATTCAGGCACACCCAGAGTTGGATCCTGCCTGCTACACCCAACAGCTGTGGGATCTTATTTAACCTCTTTAAGCCTTGACTTCTGCGTCTGTAAACTGGCAGTGGTCACAGTGCATACTTCATGGAATTATTATGCGGTTTAAATGAAGTTAATGTGTACAAAAGCACATAGCGCAGCATCTGGCACAGAGTAACACCGAATAAATGATAGCTCTTGGGTGGAGACTGAAGAAGAAATACAATTAAAGATGACCCTAAAATCCTAGCATGGCAATTTGGACAAATGCTGGCGTCCTTAATTAGAAATGAGAATGTAGGAAGGTAGGTTTGATAGAGAAAAGCCGAAGCTTGTTTTTTGGACACTTAATCTGAAATGCCTGTAGACCCTGTGGGCTGGTGTGTCCAGCAAACAGCTGGCCTCAAGACTTGAGGTTTGGTGAACCAGGCAATAGATGATCACTGAAGTCATGGCAGACAGAGGAGGGCTGAGGACAGACGCAGGCTGCAAGGGGAGGAGCCAGCCCAGGAGTCATAGAGCAGCTAGGAGGAAGGAAATGTGAAGAGGAAGAACCTGAACAATTGGGAGGCTGTGGGAACTGTTGCTTCTTCTGGGGGTTGGAATGAAAGTTTAAACCAAGACCACTGACCCCTGGGGCCATCCTCAAGAAACCCACTCTGGCCCTTAGATAGCTTGCTGCCCCTTACCTCCAGGTATTGATCAGCTAAGCGTAGGGAGCGGTCAGTGATATTAAATATGTCTCTCCAGTCAAAGTTGGTCTTGTCGTCAGCCCGACTCTCTCGAGGACCCTTGTAGAGGAAGTTTAACATGGCTTCAACAGTAATGCCATCTTCACCAAGTTCTCTATTCAAAAGATCTTTTACTGTTGGGTGTCCCAGGGTATCCTTGGGAAGATGAAATAGAGTACAGAAATTAGAAATTTCAAAGAATCCTTGGTCTTGTGCTTAGACCATTTCCAGTTTTTAATGATTAGAGATAGAAACTCAAAGTCTCCCCTCAAAACTGGTCAGTTTTCTTCCATTACAAGGCGTACACCAGTCTCATTCCCACCTTACGCAAACACATAGGTGGGTGGAAGGGAGGAGAGCACGTACGAGGTGCAGGAGGGGAAAAGGGTGGGCATACAAAATGATACAGGGAGGCTTACTCTTTCAATAGATTTTTTGGGTGGTTTTCTTTTAGTTATAGAACTCATGTCTGTATAGAATTTATGTCTCTTGGGTTTGCAAAGTTGCAAATGAGACTGACAGAACATTCGACCGTCTTTGCAGTAACAGAGAAGATTCCATGCAGAGAGGCCCCTTGGAGTCCCAGCCCTCAAGTTAATTCATAAAAGCAAGAAACCTCAGGGAACCACTGGTCTTGTGGCAGCTTTTAGATTTCCTCTGAATTTAAGAAACACTCTCTACCCAAAGCCAGTGACCCTGCTGGGTGACAGCTTCCAGAAATAGTGTCTTGGTCCCTGCTTGTGATAGTTTGATCTAACTCCACTAGTCACTGATTGCTTCTTGGGAAAAGGAAACAAACAGAGCTTCCCTGCCCCTTCCTCTCCTCTTCCTTTCCCGTCCTGTAATGCAAGGCACCCTTACTCTGATCATGGTCATCTGTGTGCTGTTGGCAAAGAAATACCAGATCTGGGGCCCTACTTCTTTCCAGGCTTTGACCAGCTTCCTAAAGCGCCCCAGTTCTTCAAAAGTTGAGTTGGCCTAAAATGAGAGAGAGAGAGAAGAAACTGGTTGTATCCTGTTATCATAAACCAATAATGCTTAGGGAAGACTTCACAGAGTGTTTTTATTTTCCCAGGCTATTGATAGTTCCCAGAACACTCTACCCTTTCCCAGCCCTTGGATTGACAGAATGTAATTTGTCAGTATCTCAGAGGTACACATAATATTAATGATGCTATTGTCTCAGAACCTCATTAAAACTGTATTTGGACTCCTACTGAGCAAACACTCATTCTCCCTGTCTTTTTCTGTTCCAGGAAGCTAGGATTCAGAGAATTGTGAATGCTTCCTTAGGGATATAATTCAGCAGTGGAAAAGCAAATTTCATTGAAGGCTGCTGCAGAGGGATGGCCCTGGCAGTGGGGCTGGAGCAGAGCATTCCTCTAATGGCTGTGGAGGCAACCCAAGAGTCCACTTAGCAAAAAAGCAAGAGACTTGCTGCCAGAAGAACACATGAAAACACACACACACACACACACACACATACACACACACTCACGGCCCTTCTGGAAGGCCTAAGGTGTAAAGGACAAGACCAGCTCCGATCTTACATTTTTCAGTATCCTGCGCGCTGCAGGGGCATCAGGAGTAAAGAGGATTTTTCCCATCAGCAAAGGCTTTGCTGCCCTCCAGGCTATTTTGGTTAAAGGGTTTGACTCCAAGCTCTGGATCAATGCATTACAAAAGGGTGCTGCAGGGAGAGAAGGGACAGATTTTAAAGAAAGTCCCTGTTGTTATAACCAAGTACGGTCATTAGTGCATCCAAATCACATGTCTCACTGGACTCCACGCTGGGGGATTTCAGGAATAGCCTAAATTAGTAGGCTGTACCGCACCAACAACAAGCTCATCATTAGTGACAAAATGCCACAGTGCTCCTCTGTAATGGCCTCATCACTGACAGAAGGAGGCTGAGACCCCTGCAAGGAGCAGAGGCCTTTCTCAGACGAAAGGGAGTGAAGGGCAAACAGGACCCCTGGAACCTCAGCTTTAGCTGCAATAATTTCTCCTCAGTTTACTGCTTTCCTTTGCTGTGTGCAGCTATCTCGAGGTCCAGTGCTTTTTGGTGTGTCTCTTGTCATTTCAATTTTTCCCTAAAGGGTCCCCCAGCTGCATTTCTTCCCCATGCCACTGTGTTTATCCTACAGAAGAGAAAATGTGAAAGATGACGTGCTTTTGGGAATTTTCAGTCTCACACACAGATTTTCACTGCACTGTCTTTGTAAAAAAAAATGTTCCCCAGCAGTGTTGATTTGCCAGGGCTTTTTGACCTGAGCTGTGCTTGCAATTCTGGGTTGCCTCCTCATTTATCATTCTTTTTTTCCCCTCTAGAACTTAACCTCAGTTCAGTTACATCAGTGGGAAATGTCCTCTTTGTTCCCTTTCCAAGTGGGCCTCAGTGCTTTCAATGGCTCATAGCCAGAACTGTTTTTTTTGTTGTTGTTGTTTTTTGTTTTTTTTATTACCACCACTCTTTCTGCAAGGGAAAGCAGACTTTCTGGAAGAGGTGTCTTTGCCCACAGCCACTCAATGAGAGCAAGAGACGGTCAACTTCAGGACTGATTTCACCTGAAAGTGTTAACCAACATCCCAACCAACATGGGAGGCCAATTTGCACACAGACTCAGAAAACTTACTTGTTCTTTTGTCGTATGAGTAAATAGGGTCTTTCCTTGTGGAGTCTATCCCCAGGAAGGCCTTGTAGTTATTGTCTTCATACCAGTTGAAGGAGAACACCCGAGAGCCTCCTCCCTCTGGGTAGCCACACAGGAGATCAGACAGGATACCCAACAGCTGTGTGAAGGTCTCCGGGCCCCTGTCCTGCAGGAGCGGTCTGGTCACCCACAGCAAGTCTTGAACACTTGGCTGATGAATGAACTAGGGCAAGGAAAGACTTTGAGTTACCTTAAAGCAACCAGAATCAAGACACACACACACACACACACACACACACACGACTTCCACGTGTAAAAGAAAACCCCTATTTTCTCATCAAAAATTAATAGAACCATGGAAAACAAAAAACAAAACCTGCTCCCATCCATCTACTCAGGGACAAGGAGAAAAGGATGAACGTTAAAGAAAATCAAAGCATGAATTCCAAAGCATTTCAGTACTGCCCCTTTCCCTTATTTGAGTTCTTTGGAAGCGTGTCCTTAAAGAAATGCAGAGATGATTTCGCTGTAAGCCGGTTCCTATGCTCTGTTATCTCATCAAGATGGGAACACTGGAGAGGAAATGGAAAATAAAATGATTGGGGAATGGCTCTATTTAGAAAAGCAAGGTCAGGACAAATTTCTTTGGCCAAATGTTTTAGAATTATTTTCCTATATTTGGAAAATTATCTTTGCAGTAGATTTACTTTATCAAATGTGCTGAAATGTGTGGTTTGGATGTATGTGTGCCTGTGTGCCTGTGTGTGTGTGCACGTGCGTGTATGTGTGTGTGTGTGTGTGTGTTTAAGATTCAGGCAAAAACAAAAAAAGATTGAAGTCTCCATTCTTAGAACACTTTTCAAATTCTGTGCCAACTAAGAGAATTGTGCCGGCCCTCTCCTTGCCTTACGGATGTCGTGGCTGTTGTTGGCCACATCCCTTGAAGGTAGCTCTGCGATGCTCAGAACTAGGTTGAAGGCTGCCAGTGTCTTAGTTCCCATAAAGCCATTTGGCTTTGGTTTAGGGAAAAATATAAAATAAAAACAATGCCGCTTTTATTTCCCAAGCACACTTTATTACTCACTTTCAAAGGCACTTGGGAATTTAAAAAACCATTAGGATTCAATCAGGTGAGACGGAAAACATTCTCCTACTGCAGTAAGTGATGTTTACCTGTCAACCCTCTCTTTGTCCACATGCCAACGCTTGCCCTCTGAAACTGGCGATCGCCATGTGGAATCCACACGGTGAGTCATGCCTATAATCACAGTCTATGCTTCAACAGTAAAGTCGGAATCTCAAATTGCTTCAATAACAGTGAGTCTTATGACAGCCTTGGGAGGGGTACTACTGTTATTATGTTGCTTATTTAATCAAATAACTCAAAGATGAAGGGGCTGTTTTGGGGTCAAATGGTTTAATATTAATTAATACAAACTGCACCATCTGCTTCAAGTGAGTTCACAAAAGCTTTGACTTGCTGTTTAGACAGGCCGGAAATCTTCTGGAACTCCCACACAAAGCTAAGAGTGTTGATGCACTTTGGGGAATTTTTACAGTCTCTATCAGCTTCAACTCTATTATACCGATAAGAATTTTTAAAATGCTATGAAGAACAGAATGTGAGAGACTCCCACTGCAGCAGGTGGCATCAGTACAATGGGCCCTTTACTAACTCTGCACAGCAGTATTCCTGCCCAGGTTGACCTTAGTTTCATAAAAACAGATCCAGCTATGCAATTTTCCACCTTGGCTGAGCCTAAGTCAGCTAGGAACACTAAAGGAGGAAAAAGTTGGGTGAAGATTATGTTTCACCTATTGCTTCCCTTTCATAATTTTTATCATGCTTGAAGACTATGTTTATTTCATGTCTCTCTTCCCTGCTGACTGTATATCCCACAACAGTAGTGATTATATCTGTCATTATGTCTATAGCACCAATCAACTATTGAGTGGAAGAATCAGTTTCTATGCTGATTCTTGTGCAATCAGATGTTAGTTAAAATGTGCACCTATTTTTGAAACAATGCAAAAAAGTCACTGGGGGGGATGAAATAAGTCAGTGTAGGTAACACACTTAAAAGAATGCCCATAAGCATTATATTAACATGACTATTATTATTTGTGGTATATATTCACATGGATTTTAAGTACATAAGAGCACCATGGACCACCTCAGGACCTGAATTCAGTTCTTAGGTACAATTGTAGGTTCTCTGATGATTTGTACCATACCAGGCAAATTGTATAAAATCAGAAAGAGGATTCCTTTCTTTTTGCTCCTACCCAGGAGCACGGTCAAGTAGAATGCGAACAGTTGCTTTGAAATTGCTATATGAAAAGAGTAAAAGGATTTCTCCTTGAGTGGGAGTGAGGTGCGATGATTTGATGTAATAAGTGCTGGCAAAATGATATAAGTGCATAAAGAAATTAGAATTACTAGCACCCAGCCATTTACCTCTTGAATTCTTGGTGACATATCAGATAACGTTCTTCCCCAGGATCTCAGATCGATGCCTTTAGAACTGCTGTCTAGGAGTGTGGGAAGCTGTAATTGATAGAAAAATATTTTTAAAAATAGATGTCATTATGTACACATACTCAGGTGCTATCTGACCTCCTGTAAGCTTGAAAACCTTTCCCTCCCTTCTTTCTGATGATAGGAATTTTTTCTGCAAGATTGCTTTCAGAAACAAATTTTTTAAAATCTACTTGGGAAAAATCAAAGGTTCTTATTCCAAGTTGCCCTGCTGGGCTAGTCAATCACAAATAGTTTCATGGTGACATTAGATACACCAGAGTGATTCTGATCGCTGGCTTAGTGATACCACACAAGACTCCCGGAGGAAGGAAAACAGAGCGCAGCTGTCGGAGCGCGGAGGGAGGCTGCTGCGGAGGGCGCGCATCTGTTCACCTCCGGGCTTTGTAGGCACTGCCAGACTTCCTCGTGTCCCGCAGGCTTTCCCCCATGGGTCCGTTTCAGGCAGCTCGCACCTCTTCCTCTGTTCAACGCTACTCTGTCATGGAAGATTCCACAATAACATCGCCTTGCCTTTAAAGCTGCTGCTGGCAGGAGTCAGAGAGAAGTCCCCTTGCCAGTTCTTCAATAGAGGGCAGTGTTCAGGTGACCCCAGCCCAAAACTCAGACTTGTTTACGGATTTGGACGGGGAATGTGGACACCCTCAAATTTATTGCCTCCAACTCCCAGAGCCTGACACGAACACCTTGTATTCTGAAAACTGAGTTTGAATCCTGACTGACTTTATTCCTCTTGGTTTCAAAAGTGATTGATCCGGACTTGGGAGCGCACCCTGTAATCCCAGCACTCGGGAGGCTGAGGCAGAAGGATCATTGCAAGTCTGAGACCAGCCTGGGCTACAAAGTGAGCTCAAGCTCAGCCTGAACTGCATAGTGAGACCAAAAAAAAAAAAAGATTGAATCCCTGATACCCTGTAAGAATCTTTTAGGGATGAGGTCTAAGTTTTAAGATAGCGATTTTCAAAGTTACGTGTGCACCTAGAATCGGCCAGGAAGGAGTCCTGAGTAGAGTGGGAAGGAAGGAAGCAAGCAGGTAAGAATCCGTACCAAGGCAAATTTATCAGAATCCTGTTGATCCTCCTTTCTCGCTCAAGATTGGTAGAGATGCAAAGGGACCCAAGAGACATATCAACAAGGAACCGTATGTGGCTTTTGATTCCGATCTGGACAGACCAGCTCTCACAGTGGGTAATGGGCATGGGCTGGGTATTGGGTGATACTGAAAAATTACCATTAAGTTTTTGGGAGTAATCACAACACGATGGTTTCGTTAAAACCAGTTCTTTGTTAGAGATACCTAGGAAGTGTGGAAGGGCGAAGTGACATGTTTGTTGCCTGTGATTTACTTCAAAAAAACATTAGGGAAAAAGAGTGAAGAACAGCTAAAATAAGAACTGGGCACACACTGATTAACAGTTGAAGCTGGGTGACAGCTGTGTGGGAGTTCAAAATTTTTTTTACTCTACTTTTAAACATATTTCTAGGATAAAATGTTTAATAATAAAAGGGTGTTCCTTCATATAAAAATAAATAAATGATTGAATAAGTGAGTATTAAGTAAGCACTTCCCCTATCTTTTTCCCTCCCCTACTAGGACTGCTGGCATTCACTTCTCTTGCAGGATATTGCTCCAGGACAGCCTTCTCCCTGGTCCCTTTCTTTATTTCCTCCCTTCTGATGCGTCTTCTACCCTGGGACCTGAGTTACTTAGCAGGTCAATCAAATCTTGTCACTTCTGCTCAGAAACCTGCAGCTCCCAACTGTCTCCCAGAGAGGTCGGTTCCAGTGTTGGCCACGCATGGCCTGGCTGAGCCAGTGTCCACCAGACAAGCACGCTGGGCTTCCGTCTCCCCCGTGTCAGGCTCTTGCTCTCTCCTTGGCTCTGCTTTCCATCCCCCATTCTCCTTTTTTGGCAAAATTCTACTTTTTCAAGTCTCATTCCTAACACAGCTACCTATAGACAGACAGCTGTCCCTGGGCAGAGTCAGGCGCTCCTTTTTCTATGCTTCTTGGCTTGCCCTTGCTCTGTTATGTTCTCTGATGGTGCCTCGTTTATTGCTTTCCTTGCAGTTGTCAGCACTGAGGATTATTCTGTTTGTTTACATGTCATCTGTCTCCCTGGCTAGTTTCTCAGTCCCGTGTGGACAGGAACCATATCTGTGTGGTAGGCTCCCAGCAGACACTCAAATAATTTTTGATAAATGGGGAATGTTCCCCACTTCCTCAGTACTGAGGATTGTACCTTGGGCCTTTGCACTGAGCTCTCCCCAGCTTTTTCTATTCTTCATTTTGAGACAAGGTCTTGTTAGTTCCTAAGTTGTCCAGGCTGCACTGGAACTTGCAACCTGCTGTCTTTCAGGGTGCTGATTTCTCGATGTGCGCCACCATGCCTGGCCAAATATTCTTACTATGCAACAAACAGACTGATTATAACTGTTCATATATCTAATACTTCTTGAAATAGCATGCTCATTAAGACAGTGATTTAACATTTTTATTTCTATCACTTAAAACTCTTACCTGTTACATTTTCTGTAATATTGCAAGAAACATTTGTGAATCCCATCTACTAGGAAGTAGAATGCAGTTTCCTTAGAGACCATGAATGTATGGTTAAAAAAGCCTCTGCAGCTGGATGTGGTGGTGCACACCTGTAATCTCAGCGCTCAGGAGGCTGAGGAGGGAGGATCTTTGTGAGTTCGAGACCAGCCTGGGCTACAAAGTGAACTCAAGCCCAGCCTGAACTGCATAGTGAGATCCTGTCTTAAAAAGATGAAACAAAAAGACTGTGCAAAACAAGTCTGCTTTTAAGTTACCTTTTTTAGAAAGAATAAATAAATTTTAGCTGTTTTGAAGTCAAATTCCCTTACATTGATGTCCTACTAGAAATGGAGAGCTGGGCTTGGTGGCGCACACCTGTAATCACAGCACTCTGGAAGCTAAGGCAGGAGGATTGTTGTGCGTTTGAAGCCAACCTGGGCTACAAAGTGAGTTCAAGACCAGCCTGAACTGCATAGTGAGTCCCTGCCTGAAAAAGGCACACACATATACACACATACAGACACACACACACAAATAGAAATGGATACAGTGAAGAAATAGTAATAACTCCCTGGAAATTCATAATTATTCAATTTTAATAATTCAATTGAATAATTCAATATTGTCCAGTTAGTTCTGAATCTCATATAGAACACTTAGGCCTCCCCCCACCCCAATGTAAGTACTAGCTACCTATATGAAGTGAAGCGTAAAGTTCTCCCTGTAATTTATCTTTCCTCTTTACCCAAGGTAACCATTATTAAAATTTTGGTGTAGATTCTTCTAAAAGCACCAAACTTTTAATTATTGTATCTTTCCCTTGGCTGACAAATCCATAGACCTCCACATTTTGATCACAGTTTGTAGTAAGCCATAACAGTTTATGTGTATGAACTTGTAGAATACCCTAGCCATCTCTAAAGACCAAAGCTTCATTCTAAGAATGAGATCTGTACTGTCTTAATCTTAGTCTATTTCAATTGCTATAACAAAATAACATAAATTGGCTGTTTGTAAGAAATTTATGTCTCATGGTTCTGGAGACTGGAGAGTCCAAGATCAAGGCTCTGACAGGTTTGGTAACTGGTGAGGGCCTATTTCTTAGAACACACCACTATGCTTCACGTGGTGGAATAGGCAAGCTAGCTTTGTGGGGTCTCCTTTATAAGGGCACTAATCCCAATCATGACCTAACCATCTTCTAAAAGCTGTACCTTCTAATACTGTCATTTTGAGGATTAGGATTTCAACATATAAATTTTGGGGTGACACATTTGGACCATAGGAAGCACTTCACTTTCATTTTCATCACCCTGTTACCTAGAAAATCAATGACATGAAACATAAGAAAGACCAAAAGAATGAAATAGTCATTTACCCATTCCTTAGATATTGCCTCCCACTGAATGACTAGGCTCCATCATTGTAGTGGAGATTGACACAATTTTGCCAAAGATGATTACACCTGCATCAACTACATTTCCCAGCTTCCCTTGTATCAAGTAGGCAGGGGACACAATTCTAATCAATGAGATATTATACAGTGGGACCTCTGGAAATGATATTTCAAAAGAGTGTCCTCAGCCTTCATCTTCCCCCTGCCTGGAACATGGCTGGTCTAGGGGAAGTAGAGCAGACAGCTCAAGCTCTCCAGATGACGAGCTTTTTCTAGGATTGGGTAAGGGAAATGAAAGGAGCCAGCGTTCCTGAGGAAACTTGCAGTCTTCACGCTGCTCATAGATGATATCACAGGACTGTGCCTTGGGAGGGAAACAAAACCCACTGTTTTTCAGCATTTTTGTTATAGACATTTGCAATTTGTAAATGATGTAACTACACATTGGACAACCATTGACTGAGTATCTGCTGTGGGCTGTGTGCTGTGAATATAGCAGGGAACGAAATAAAGTCCTCTCTTCGTGGAGTTTCCCTTCAAGAAGGTCACGATTTACCTTCGGCCTTCCCATCACTATTATCATGGGTATATGCTTAAGATTCTCACACGGAACCGAACCTCTTCCGATTCCCCTGTAACTAGAGTCTTCTTCCTCCATCTTTCTTCCCACATTCCTTGGAAGCACAGTCCACATTCAGTGACTTCACTTTCTCATCTTCTGCCCCCACCGTCCTACCGAGATGCTTTATTTAGAATCTAGAATACTCAATTTCCTCCTGGTTTTTAAATGTATTGGATAATTTTGATGTTGTCTTCTCAAATGTCTGCTTTTCTTAGCATTTTTAAAAATGTTCTTTTCTTCTCTTGCCATCTGTGACACTGTTCTTGCCCGCTTTGCTTTGTCCCTTGTCCGTCTTCTCTGCTGAGTTCCTCATCTCCACCTTCCTTCTAAGAGCTAAGTTTCCCCTGCGGCCTGCAGCCCCTCCTCTCCCTATAGTCTTACTTCTTTTGTCATCTAATTTTCCACTCTTTCTTGTTCTTGACTTCCAAATCTGCACCTCCAACCCAGACA